TGTCTCTGAACTGAGTAGCAGGGAACCTGAAACGGAGAAGATGAGGAAGCTCCGGGGGGGAACCCGGTGTAAAGGCTCTGAAACTCAAGTTAGAATCCTTCAAAAGCAAGATAAAACCAGATAGCGCAAAGTTTGCATACCATGTTCTTGGGGGGTAGAGAGCCTTTTATAACCACCTCGCGCACTCACTCCTAGGCTTTTGTCAGGTCGGGTATGTTACTTCCGTGCTTCTGCCAGTTCGGGTGTCATCACTTCTGCTGGGGCAGAACCGCCACTGCTCTTTTTGTCAGAGCCGTCTCTGTAACTGGAGATGGCGGTGGCAGGTGACGATGGCAGGTGGCCATTGAAGTGCGGCTGTCAAGCATTAGATCCCAAGTCAGTCAGGTGTGCCGCCCCTGGATACGAACTCCTTCAGTGTCAGGTACGGTGTGGTTTGTCTAGTTCGGCGTTCTGGAGGCGAAGTGCTGGAGTAGTGTGCGAGGCAAAGTCTTGAGTTCGGATAGGGGAGTGTCCCGAACTGCCATGAGGCAGGCCAGTTCGGGTCACTGCTTTGTGTGGCTCGAGGCCAAAGGGAGAGTTTGGGCTCCTCGTAGGGAGTTCGAGCTCTTAGTTGGGAGTTCGAGCTCTTAGTAGGGAGGTCGGGCTCCTCGTAGGGAGTTCGGGCTCCTCGAAGGGAGTTCGGTCTCCTCGAGGGGAGTTCGGACTGTTGGTTTCTTCCCTTTGGTGTTTGCACCCTGGGTGCACTGCTTTAAGTGCCGAGCTATTTGTTTTTTGCCACGTAGCATGATTGCGAAGTCGGGCCAAATCTTCCTTCGTCAACAACAACCGTCACCGTTTTCAATATTTGCTGGTTTCAGTGTTTTTTCTCAGAATAAGAGACAACAGAGAGACTTAGTTCGTCCTACAGGTATATATAATACGTTTATCCTTTTGAAAGTTTTGTTTATCTCTTTCTTATTTTTTTCAATTTGAACTTCAAAATTTATTGGGTTTGCTAATTTAGAATGCTTGAATTGATCTCTTGTTCCCCCATTCGAAGCCAGATTTTTCTGTCATCAGTGACGTTGCTCAACTCATTTGAATTCCCACATTCATCCACTACCTCTGAGAACCAAGGTTTTGTTCTATATCTTGTTTGAAAGAAAACTTCAATCATTCGGATCTTGAAAGAACCCCATTAGCGAGTTGGCACTGTGCTTGAAAGAATCCATTCGAACTCAATCATCTGTTGACACACATAAACCCTAGAGTTTTAATATTATTTTATAGTCTGTACTCTTGATTAGAGACTGTTGTGCTTTGACGTATGCCTGTATGTTTGCTCTATTTTTTGGCATTTGCACCCAAAATTTTCGGGACTATTTGCAAGCGTGATTTGTATGAGCAAAGAAAAAGTATCTCCTTAAAGCATAATTTGCTAATCAGTCCCACTTAGAACTCGCAACAATAAATTGACCAACATAATTGTAACATAAAAGGAACAATGTAGAAAATGCTTTAAGACAATGATTACTAAAATAAAAAAAAAGGGGAAAAGTAGGGACAAGTCTAATGCAGATTTCTGAATCATTCATGTAAATCTATAAATATTCAAAAGGTCAAAAACCCACATTCTATACATTGATACTAGATCATGAATTGACATCAATTCCGAACTAACACCAACCCCAATTGTATGGGCCTATGAATTCTGACCTTGGGCTGATGGGTCATTCTCCCTAAAAAAACGATGAATCACTTCCTTCTTGCTACTTCTGGAAAAGTAAGTTGCCACAATGATTGCTTTTCTTGTTCGGACGATTGGTCTTAGGAAATGTCTAACCAAGGACAAACTCATGAGAAGAAGGCTTCAACTCTCTATTGTTCCTCTGTTACCCCTTCACTCTTCAATCTAGGCCCACTTCTCCAATTTGGGAGTATGTTGGGTTTTCCCTCGATCTATTTTGCAATCCCTTACAAGTTGCCATTTGATGGGTCTGAGCAACAATGGCACCCTTGTTCGTAGGTGGATTGCTGTAGTTATAATGTGGTAGTGGACAGAAAGGAACTCTAAGGACCTACCAATTATAATGTGGGTAGTGTGGACAGAACGGAACTCTAGGAAGCAGCTTGTATGAAGGCAACCAGCTTCTAAAAACACAGTTTTCTATACAAATGAACACAACTTTAAGAATCCTTAAGAAAGTTTACAGCCACACA